TTCTAGTCAGTTTAGAGGCTTATTTCAGACATAGTTAGATTCAGCTTAGTATTTTGAGTTTGATATTTCTTTTGTATTAAACTCTCAGATTTCATATATCTCAGATATAGTATATGGGTATTCCCCATCATTTCAGACTCTTTATGATTTAGCTTCCGCATCAGTTATTATTATCTTTAGTATGCTCATGATCATTCCAGCAGGGTTAGCTTGGGATCACTTGTGGTCCTAGGTCCCGTGTCCGCGTCTCGGGGGTAGCTCGGGGCGTGACACATGGCAGCTCGAAAGAATTGACTCACCCTTGAATTCGAACGATTACTGATCTTCTAAGCGAGGCCTGTCAGTAGCCCCTTGAAGATGCCCTGTACTCAACAAAAATAAGAGCAAGTGCAGTATCAGTACACAACCACAGTGTACTGGTAGGATCACACGGCTATCCCACTAAGTGCAACATACATAAGTCATCACAACAATATAATCACATGCATATATATCAACATATATAATATTATCAACATTTACGAACAACGAACAACAAACAACTTCACATTTTTATATCAAATCATTGGTCCTCTCATGGAACCAAACCCAAACAGTTAGCATACCAGAACGTGGTATCCGATCCCATAATTATGCCGAAACGTAGCAATCGATCCCATAGTTATGTTAGAACGTGACAACCGATCCAAGTTAGTTATGCTGGAACGTGGTAACCGATCCATTCAACACACCATAATCACAATCATAAGTATATCATCATGATCATACATTTAAGTCATGATTTCATGGTAATCATCATTCAACTATCTCATTTACAACAAGTGTGATCAACATTGCAACATTCATACATATACAAGTATCATAATGAAGCAAGAATAAACATACATCACACAATCATAGAATCACAACCATCACCTACCTCGAAACAAGCTTGAAACCCTTATAAACTTGATCCTTCCATTTTCGGATTCGTTTCGCTTGTTCTTGGTCTACAAACAATCAATATAATACGGGAATCAATAAACAATCACTAATTACCCAAATTACTAACAATTCTATGAACCCTAGATCAGACCCATGATCCCAATTAGGGTTATTTCCACCATATAATCTATTACAAAACCCTCCCCCATCAATATTCACCCATTATATTATGTTCTACGGATCGAAAAACGGATTCGGGGAGTGAAAAACTTGCCTTTAGCCTCAAGAATGGTGAAAAATGAGTAGGAGTCGCGTGGGGTTCGTTCCTTAGCTCTAAAAGTTGAAAAGTGCATAATAAGGTCGTTTAGGGGTTTATTAATGACCTTAAGTCGCGTTGAGCCCGCCACAACGACCCTCATCCCGCTGTAGCTACCCCGCCAGAGCTGTCAAAACCCCCGCCAACGTGGCTTGCATGAACCAGAGAGCTATTTTGAGAAATTCAAAATCCCCATTTCACAACACACCTCTAACCAACGATGTTCAGAATAATACCCTTTGTGCTAAGATCGATTCCGGGAGTTCTACTCACTCTAATTCAATTCCGTAAAGTCGTACGGATTCCTTAATGAATTATTTAACTACTCATGCAATCAAAATCATAAATGATTCACCCGATTGTTACCAGATTTCCCTACACCTCAAAGACTCTGATTTCGTCCAAATCTAGAGAAGGTTGGGAAAATCCAAATACTACAAAAAAGTTTTTCTGGCCCCAAATTTTCCCCTATTGGCTTTTCTATAACGACGGGAACAAGTCGTTACAAAATGTGTAAAATTTGTATATATTTTTTAATTTATAATATGTTCATATGTAAGTACTGTGGTTAGATTTGAAAATACATTTAAGTAATATTGGATTTGTGGTTGATTGTATGAATATCTTGATTATAAAGGTATTGTTTATGTGTAACTCTTTTTTTTGGCATATGTATAACTCTGTTAATATACAAATGTGTTGATTTATGTGTATATATATATATATATATTATTTGTGGATATGAATATGTATAAACACATGTTAAATAATATATTGATTTTTGATAAATGATTATAATATTCAAAATCTCTAGAAGAATGTCTTCCTTATCTATTTTGGTTATCCATTCTGAAAAATAGGACGATCGAAATTGTTACATCGATTATACTATAGATGGGATAGTCTTTAAAGAACAAGCATCATATTTTGAGTTTTATAACACCTAAGAAAATTTAAAATCACTTGGTAAAATCCTGTTCACAAATGAAGAATGGTTCGAGTCTTAACTTATTTTTTTTTATTATTACAATATCTCCCTCTTGAGATCATTCATCCTCGAATGACGGCTTGACTAGGAATGGAAAGGGA